AAAATTATCATTACAGATATAAGCCTTCTAAAGTCAGCAGCAATCTGTTACACAGCAGCACTGTTGAAGACAAGGACAGTTTCAGATAAGTAAGTGCTATAAAAACTGCAATAATTTGGAAAGACTGCTACTCAATATTATGTTTGTCCTCTACTGACTTTAAACAATGCTGTTTTCCACTCTACTTCCTTCTGAATAGCCCTGGATCTTTTAAGGCTTATAGACTTCTTGCTGTGTGTAGTGGAAAGAGCAAAGTTTTTAGAGCTAACCTGAGCTCAAATTCAAACTCTACCACGTTCTAGCTATAGAACTGTAGGCAGGTTGATCATTTTGAGTTTCTCCTTTATCTGTAAAATGAGAATAATACCACAGGAGGGTTGAGGAGGATTATGTGTGGTAAGTGCCAAAAGCAATATCTAGAAAGCAAGCACACACAATAAATAGTAACTATGATGATGATGATGATGAAGTGTGTAGTAGGGAAATAGGCATATGTTATTTCTTCTTAGAGAATAATTCTGAGTTCTTCTGCTTTTCTTGTATTTTTGGCTACTTTTAATGAATTCTCTTTATTGTGCAGATAAGATACTCAGAAATCAACCAAATGGTGACTATTTTCTTTCACCTTAGATTTTTATGCTTTGAAATGAATTAGAATGGAATTTTCAGTTTGTTTCCTCTCAGATAAGAATTTGATAAGAATGTACTGCTATTTCATGAGATTATTTGGATATCACTGTGTAGCATTTATTACTTGGTTACCTTTTCTAAAGTGTACCTTCAATGGACTTCTCCTGAAGGCCTTCTTTACCTAAGTTTGAAGATTTTCATTACTTATGCTGCTTTGTTTTTTATATGTTGAACCACAAGGCTTTATTTATTTATTTTGGTAGTCCTCTGGCTTTGTTTTTGGCCATCTCCAGAAACTCCTTTGATTCAATGGGCTATTTCAATTCAAGGGATTATTATGTAAATCCATACTTTCTTTTCTTTTTTATTTTTTGTTAGCATATTTATTTTTTCATTTTGTGCTTTTCTTGTAGATTCTCTCCAGAAACAGCCTCCAAAAGAGGGTTAAGCACAGCAGAAATTAATGCCGTGGAAGCAATTCATAGAGCTGTGGAATTTAATCCTCATGTTCCAAAAGTGAGAAATTTTATTATGAAAATACTACCTTTATTTAAGTTTATCAAATTGATGACCATGTAGACCAAAGTCTGGGTCACCATTATTTGGTGTGGAATTGTTTTCTTCTGCTGTATTTTGATGCTTATTATTGATCTTAAAGGGGATGTTGAAACATTTAGGCATTTAGAAAGGTGGAAAGAAGTAATAGTTAGCTATATGCTTTGTAATTACTGTCAAAATATAATTTGAACTGTGTTGCTTAGCTGTTCTTTTAGTATAGTTACAGAGAAGAAATAACGGCTTGGTCTTAAAAGATTATTCATATTTCATATCACTAAATTAAATTTCCTGTTACTGTGAAAGCTTTTTCTACACAGATTCCTAGCTTTTGAACTAGAGTTGGGTAGACAAAAACTAAAGACAAACAAATTAAAATAATCAATGATAGGAAGCAGATGTGGAAATTCCCAGACAAACTGGCTGATGCTTATTTAGTCCCAGATGAATCTATATACTTGCTTTGTCTTTATATTGTATACCTTGCAGTCATACAAATTATTGCTTAATCTTTGTGTGTTATAACACAAAGTAAAATTTAGGATTTTGGGTGGACACAGTAGTTCATGCCTATAACCCCAAGACTTTGGAAGGCTGAGGTGGGAGGATTACTTGAGCCCAGGAGTTTGGGATTAGCCTGGGCAATGTGGTGAGACCTCATTTCTGCAAAAAATACAAAAAATAATCTGGGCGTGGTGATGCATCCTGTTGTCTCAGCTACTTGGGAAGCCAAGCAGGGAAGATCGCTTGAGTTCAGGAGGTCAAGACTGCAGTGAGCTGCAATCATGCCACTGTACTGAAGCCTAGATGACAGAGTCAAACCCCATCTCAAGTATAAAAAAAGAGGGGGATTTTACAGTGCCCCATGTTAGGAAGTATAGACTATTCAAGAATAGATGCCCTTACTACGAAATGTAATTATAGCTAAAGAGTGTTAATAGAGCTTGGAAACTAGAACGAAGAGCTATAGTAAAGAGATTAATTGCTAAAAGATAATTTCCAAGAAAAGGATGTTGTAAGCCTGTTAGAGATATGGTTAAGAAAAGTACCTAAGTCCAAGAAAGAGAATGGTACAAATATTTATACCATTCTCTCATTAAGTGACACTGGTTCCATACATTTAAAGACAGAAGTTCACCCATATCCACGGTTTCACATTCCATCGTTTCAGTTATCTATAATCAGCCTCTGTCTGAAGATATTAAATGGAATATTCCAGAAATAATTCATAAGTTTTAAGTTGCATGTTGTTCTGAGTAGCTTGATGAAATCTTACACCATCCCCCTCCATCCAACCTAGTACATGACTCATCCCCTTGTCCAGCATATCCACAGTGTCTATGCTACCCACCTGTTAGTCACTCTGAGTAGCCAACTCAGTTGTCAGATTGACTGTCATGGTATCATAGTTCTTGTGTTCAAGTAACCTTTATTTTACTTAATAGTGACCCCAAATGCAAGATTGGCATATTATTATAACTGTTGTATTTTATTATTGGTTGTTGGTTATTAGTCTCTTACTGTGCCTAAATTATAAATTCTATCATGGATATATATTTGGAGGAAAAATCATGGTGTATGTAGGGTTTCGTCCTATTTGTGGTTTCAGATATCCACTGGGAGTCTTTTTTTTTTTTTTGAGACGGAGTCTCACTATCACCCAGGCTGGAGTGCAATGGCACAGTCTTGGCGTACTGCAACCTCCGCCTCCCGAGTTCAAGCCATTCTCCTGCCTGCCTCCTGAGTAGCTGGGATTACAGGTGCAAGTCACCACGCCCGGCTAATTTTTGTATTTTTAGTAGAGATGGGGTTTCACCATGTTGATCAGACTGGTCTCAAACTCCTGACATTGTGATCAGCCCGCCTCGGCCTCCCAAAATGCTGGGATTACAGGTGTGAGCCACTGCACCCAGTCCCACTGGGAGTCTTAAAACATATGTCCTAAGGATATGGGGTGAGTACTGTAAACTTTTTATTATGAATTCTTCTACACATGCAAGAAGGTGTATAAAACAAAAATGTGCATCTTAATGATTTGTTACCAAGTAAATGCTTGAAAACTGCTGAGGTCAAGAAACAGAACATTGTCAACTCATAGACTCCTACCTGACTGCCCTTTCCCATTACGACCTCTTCCTTCTTATCTAAAGGTAACCACTGTTCTTATTTATTATGTTCATTTCTTCTCTTTCCTTTTGTTTTTGATCTGTACCTTTCCTTTATTTCTGGATTTTTTTTCTTTTTAAGACAGAGTCTTCTGCTTTTCAGGAGACTGAGGCAGGAGAATTGCTTGAACCCAGGAGGCAGAGGTTTCAGTGAGCTGAGATCGAGCTATTACACTTCAGTCTGGGCCACAGAGTGAGACTCTGTCTCAT